AAAGATTCCAATTAAGGACAATTAGACATTATTTGTTTAATGTGTTCATCTCGGATTAACAAACTTTCCTACGTTAAACTCTTCAAAGATGTCCAATTTAGTACGGATTCATCTAATGTTCTGCAATTATTGCAGTTGAGTTTTATAATCAATGAACTACTATAGAGAACTTCTCACAAGCTATAGGGTTGGTCATAATGCCCAATCGGATAAGCAGTTCTATAACATATATTCAGGGGTAAATCCTCCACTTTCTTATTCACAGCAAATTCAATCCACTTGTCAATTACGGGAAAATAAGAAACACCATCATTAAGTTTAAACCTAAAGTTTAGACTAAACTCTTTAATGGTAGAGCAGTTAAGGAGAGGCAGTACATTATCCGTTAAGGAAATGAATTTGTGCAGTGTCAAGATTAATAATGATTGCAATTGATCTATCATGATCATCCTAACGTGGATCGGTATTCTATCAAAGGTGATACATGTTGCTTTGAAATTATTGCTCTATATGTTGAACATTTAACGATTTCTTGGGTTTTAATAATATGAAAATTAAGTTGAGGGACTTGCCATCTTTGAACCACGCAAATCTTGATCTTTACTGTGATGAATTAGATGAAATGAATGAAAACATAGAGAAAGATCTTTTGGCAAGCGTTCATTGTGCTAATGAGCTAATATTGTCATCCTGGTTTACCAAGGTCAGTTTTCAGTCCCAAATGTCTCCAGTCTTTTTATGTTGATTGTGAATTGAGCCTGTGTTTTTTACCTATCAACTTGATTATACGATGGGGGTCATCATTTTTTCAATTAACCTGATTAATTATCTATTGATTCACTTCCTTTTAATTAACTCATATAGTTTTAATTTAGTATGTGAGATTAAACATTAGTTCCTTTTATTGGTCTAAGCTATAAGGTGTTACAAGAATGGGAAATCACAACAGGTTGAGTTTGTAAGCCCTGTAAATTAATGTACTTACGTTTTTTGTTCCTTATTCTTCTATTTAGGTGATTTCCAGTTTGATGTTGGAAGAGAAACACATCTCCTTACTGTTGCTGGAATGCAGATGGTTGACAATAAGTTCTTGTATTTCAAAACATTTCTTCCCCTAGACATGCTCTTAAGGTCGACTCGTAATTTGGAAAACCTAATGATATTTCTTGATATGCCAAAAAAAATTTCAATTCACAATATCTTTATGTCAAATGTATATTGATCCCTTACAGCCTCAATTACTTCAATTTCATTACTATTGTTCTTTATCTTACCACCTAACTCGATTTGTCCTTGTTATGTATTTGTAGTACCATGTTTTTTTAGGGCGAACACATTGATTTGCTGGAAGACAAACACCTTTCGTTTGAACAATACATATTCCAAGTTTCCTTACAGAATTTGAAGAATGTCAAGGTTATGCAATTTTGTAGTCGTACGTGTAGTTTTGAAGCAATAAAGCTCCATCAATTCTTGAAGTTCTTACTTGTGCGTGCAATAAATCCCAAGAAACTTGTTATAGTACCAGAGCATAAGGATTGCAACAGTTGTTCTACTAATACCTCAAATCTAATGAAGCATTTGTCAGCTTTCCCAACAAGTGCAATTATTTCCTTCAGACCAATAAGTCATAATGTTTTCTATTCCTAGTTTGTTGTTCTTATTTTTGTTGTCAATTTTTTTTAATGAGGATAACTTGTTATGAAAATTATATTATGTGCCAGCCATTAATTAGAACAAAAAATAGCTGATCGTCTATGGTTTGTGCTCGTAATAAAGAGAGCTAGTTTGCATCTCCATCTACATGAATGGAATCAACCTTCTTGGGACTGGACTAGCTGGCTGGGCGGCCTAGATTGAATATCACTATTGCTAGCTGGGCTGGAAGTTGACTGGATTACTAGATATTGTGGTTACTTGTGTTGGGAGCCTGACTTTGGTTTCTTAGGTCTGGATTTGTGGTTCCTTTCTCTCTTATAGACTTAGTTACTCTTTGTACCTGTTAGGTTTACGAGGGTCTGTTTGAGTTTGATTTTCACATGTGCATGAGTGTACATTCTAGGCCTATAGGGGTCGAGTTAGGTTTAGTCTAGATGTATTTAGATTTACTTTCAATATGCTTGTATGCTTTCTTTCATATTCGTTTTGACATTGCTGTGTTCCCATAGGTTTTGTTCTTTCTCAAGTGACTTGGGATTAGGGTTATTCAAGCTGGATACTTCTTGTAATTCTTTGTGAGGGGACGTTGATCCACGGTGGCTTAGTATTGATTGATCTCATATTCGACATCCTATTGGGAGTCAACACCGCTCGGGACACTCTTTCTAGTTGGATTGCTTTGAAGTGGTTTGTCTAGATGGGCGACTTTGATATTTTGAGACCCTTTTTGGAGTCAACACGCCCCTATGTCAGTCTTGCTAGTTGGGTTGGGAGTCGACCAGCTGGATGGGCGACCTAGATTGATTGTCACTCTTGCTAGCTAGGCTGGAAGTTGACTGGATTACTAGATATTGTGGTTACTTGGGTTGCGAGCCTGAATTTTGTTTCTTGTGTTTGGATTTGTGGTGACTTTATCTTTTGTAGACTTAGTAACTCTTTATATCTATCGGGCTTACAAGGTCTATTTAATTTTCATTTAAACATATGCATTAGTGTATGCGATAGGCTTATAGGGGTCAGTTAAGTTTAGCTTAGGTTTACTTAGATTTACATTCGGTATGCTTTCTTTCATATCCACTTTGACTTATGTCTGTTTCTAGATTCTATCTTTTCATATTGTTTTTACCTTTCTTGCTGAGTCGACATGTGATGTCTACAAAGTACCAATTTTTTATACTCATGCTACAATATTAATTTGTTTCATCATGCAGGTCCTAGTACCAGCTAGCAGCGGTGATTGTTTGTGCAATTAGAAGAATTAGGGATTTGGAGATGAGTGTGCGCACTTGGACCAATTAGTCATAATGTTTGTGCTAATGAAGCACTTGTTAGCTTTTCCAACAAGTGCAATTATTTCCTTTGGACCAATTAGTCATAATGTTTTCTATTCCTACTTTGTTGCTATTATTTTTGTTGACATTTGTTCTTTGTTTTAATGTGGATAACTTGTTATGAAAATTAAATTATGTGCCAGCCATTAATTAGAGCAAAAAATAGTTGATCGTCCCTTAACCTATGGTTTGTGCTCATAAAAAGGAGAGCTAGTTTTCATCTCCCTCTACAAGGATGGAACCAACCTTCGGGTTTTACCTGTTCCCACACATCCATTTAAGGCATTCCAACTTGGTGGGACCAACAAAGAATGTGGTCCAATTGATGGTACTGCTTCTCTCTTAGAAAGAAGCTTCTGGATCTAGCTTTCGGTATAGAAAAATCTTTGGTAGGAGTGTTACCCCTAAATGGACCCTAACGGAGGCAAAGAATCATTTAGGCTCCAATGTGGATATCAGACACCCTAAAAAAATGAGAAGCCATTTTTTTATGAAATTTAGTTATCTTTTATAGTAGAACTAGATAAAAGATGCCCGCGCAAGGCACGTGCTTTAAGTATTGAGATGCAAATAAAGAAAAGACTATTAAGCCTAATATTAACATATTTATGTTTTACCATATGTTACATTTAGTTTGTGGAACATTATACTGAGAGCTTGCTAGAAAGGTGATGCTTATCGTGACCAACCACACTATCCTACGATATGAGTGTCTACGATCGTCGATAATATAGTAACCCAACCGAGGGTTAGGGTAATGCCTCAAGGGAGCGGTTTTGAAAATTAATAACCAATTAGAATTTCATTCAAATCCTCGTAGGTAATGCTCTTGGTCTGCCTTTAATCAGTTTATCAGCCTAAGGCTTCGCTCTATTACCAGGAGTGGAGAGAAAGCGAAAGAGGAAAGGTGTTTTCCCATTCGATTGATCGATTCAGAGTCCCGAACCGAAGCCCAAGCCCATACTCTGACTAAGAAAGACTTTTGGGCATTGCTTGGGTCGAGCTAGGGGCAAAAGCTAAGGAAGGTTGTTTCCAAGATACATTTGCGATAAAAGACATTGTAAATTAAAGAGGGTGACACAAAAGTGTCAAATATCAAAGGGGTTTTTGTAACAAGTACTAAAACAGCAAAATAAACAAGAAAATGAAGTTTGGGGAAAGGTTTTTGGGATGTGACCGCAATACAAGTTGAGATAAATTGTTGGGTACATGCTTTCGATAGGTCATTTGCAAAATAATAGTGACTAAGCTAAGCTTTAAATGGAAATAAGTTCCCTCTCAGGCAACTTACCCCGTTTCAAATGAGTTCCTCTTGGACACCCATTTGCCGCATGAAGACCAGCCTACGCCTTACCCCACTCACTCTCTCAAGCTCAATGTTAGGATATGGGACTAGGGCTCATCCTCTCGGGCGGAACCTCATGTCGACCAACTCATTAGGCCATCAGTCTAGTGGTTTTGGTTTCGCGACCTCCCTCTCGGGAAAGCCGAAAACACATGGGTGGCTTTGTATTTGCAACTACAAACCCTTTAGATTAAACCAAAACCACTAGGTGAAATCACCATTAAAATACATTTAACCTATCAGCAAGCAAGACCCAACAAGAATATCAACCCATATTTGCTAAATCACACCCCAAGAATGGGGGATTTTAGCCACACATCAAGAAATAAGAAATTATACCCAACATGAGAATGAAATCAACTGGGTATGAGAAACTAAACCGTGAATAAACCAAAGGAAAATGAATAGAGAAGACCAACTTCCAACTTGGGGAAGAAGAACTCCTTTCGTCAAGTCTCCACAAAACCCTCTCCAAACTTGAGAGAAATATATCAGCTAGAATATGTTTTAAAGTGAAAATAATAATAATAATTGTTCCACTCCAAAAATCTCTTTCTAACTAGTATTTATAGTTTTCATAGATTGTTGTGCGGAGGATTGTTCGGCGACATCAGACGAGATCACCGATAAAATTGGCGATCCGCCCTTTGGTAAGCTCATCACCTTCAGTGTCTTGCCTTTTGCATCCTCGCATTCTGAATCATTGGGCGGTACATTACTGCTTTGCGAAACTGATCGGCGACTCGCCGACTGCTCTTTTCCTTGCCTTTTGATCCATTTCCTTCAAGGATTCGCATATTGGAACAAAGGGTGGTTCATGTCATTTCGGCAGCTCGCCAAGTTGAACTCGGCGACCTGCAGGATTCTATTTCTTGTTCGTTTTAGCCCTATTTGCTCCATTTTGTGCCTAAGTGTCCATGCTTCCACTAAAACGTCGAATAACTGAAACTTCATCATTTTAATCAGGTATTGAGATAAAACAAGCATTCAAGGACACAATTTCTATTAAAATAAAGCCCTAAATGATTCCAATTTGTGGACTCATCAAAAGGCTACAACATATTATAGTATTTTTTAATTTATCTGCTAAGCCTGAGGCTGTGGAAGCAGCACCACAAATTTCTTATTCGAAGGTCCACCCATAGTTTGACTACCTGAGAAGTGGAAGGAGTCGATCTCTAATAAAATAACAATGTAACTGTTATAATAAGTGTTGCTAAATGACATAGGAAGAAACAAATGGCTTTACAACATAAATGTTATGAAACTAAAGTTCCAAAATGATGTATGTGTTAGTTGCGTATTTCACCATTGGTAATGCTTAAATGCGACAAAAAAGGTGTTGGAATCAAGAAATTAAACCCAGCTCCAGGAGAAGATGCTAGATGAGTCGACTACATATATATTATGATATAATATGAGACTTAAATGGAATAAAATATTGAGATTTGAGACTTAAGATTGAGACTTGAAAGAATATAAAAAATAGATGAGAAAATATATGATTTTGTAAGAAATAATAAGGGATAGAGGGGTATTTATAATATTAAAAGTGGGTTAAAGTGTATTTATAATAACTTGAGGGTTTAAAGTAATTTATTAAAAGTAGGGGTGGTAGGGGGTGTTGGTAGGGGGGAAAAACTGTCAAAAAATCCGTTGGGGGGGCCCACTAGCCGTTGCCCAACAGATAGAATTTTTTTTTAAAATATATATATATATTGTTAGGGGATCCCGCGAACCGGCCGGTTCATCCGGGCCGGGTCGACCGGGACCAACGGGTGAACCGGACCGGGTCCGGCGAGCCGGTTCTCGGATCGGTCGCGGGCCGACCCGGTCCCCCTTCCAGTCCTAGGATAAGTTCAACAATAGTGTAGTAGTTACCTTCTCCACAATTTTGAAATGTTTGTTACAAGGTAGCCAATAGAAATAGGACAGCTATAAGCATATGATTGGTTTTATTGTTTTAGTTTCGATTATAAATTCTTGTACAAAGCATGATCAGAAATACAACAAATATTTTCCATCGTATTCCTTTTTTTTCTTCAAGAAGGCAATAGCTTTGAACAAATGCATAGAAATGCTAATCCATTTCTTATAAAATAAAATCATTGAGACAATAGAAAATTAGACGTCATAGCAATAACAATACCAGTTATAGAAGTTAGAAAAATAAGAACTATAATAGTAAAGTTGAAAGATTCAAAGGGTTTGTTGGTAAATTTCAGAAGTATGAACTATTAGAGAGCAAAGAAGTCAAGAAGAATATCGGTAGAAGGACATTTTTATTGATGTCTTCAGATTACATTTATAAGACTAGAATAAAAAACAGAAAGCAGTAAACCCACGACTAGAAGATTCCTAATTCACTAACTTACTCCTAAATAATAGGAATAGATGGCTAACAACAAATTGACTAAGTCTTATCTAATATAAAGCAGTAAAAGTAAAATTAATTGCAGTTGATAAAGCAAATTCCTATCACTCCTCCTTGCTTTGGAAACTTTATACTCCAATTTTCTATCTGAGATGTTGAAACTTACTGACTGGTAAAGGCTTAGTGAATATATCAGCCAATTGTTCTTCCGACTTGCAGTAGACAAGAGCTATATCTCCATCTTTTTGCACTTCTCTTAAGTAAAAGAACTTGATTTTGAAGTGCTTAGTTCTTCCATGAAACACAAGATTGTTAGATATAGCTATTGCTTCTTCATTATCCACGAACACTTTGATGCCTCCTGTTGGTTCCATATGCAAATCAACCAGAATTTTCTTCAGCAATAATGCTTGATTTACTGCTGCTGCAGCTGCCACAAACTCAGCTTCGACAGTAGATTGAGCTATAATATCTTGTTTCTTACAGCCCCTGAGAAAATTCTAGAACCAAGACTAACATAGTACCGTGAGGCACTCTTTGCATCATGCTTGGGACCAACCCAATCAATGTCGGAATACCCACAAAGATTCACAGGTTGACTCTTCTGAAACTTGACTCCATAGGTGATGGTTCCTTTGATATATCACACAATTCTTTTGGCTTCCTGCAAATGTATTTAACTAGGACAATGCAGAACCTTGACAAAACACTTACAACATACAATATATTGGGTCTTGTTGCTCTAAGAAGCATTAAACACCCAATGAAACTTCTGACGTATGTCTCATCCCCCTTTTCGGCTCTATCATCTTTACTTAGTTTCTCTTTTTGGTTCATGGGAGTACTAATCTCTTTGCATTTTTCCATTTTGAATTTCTTGAGAATTTCCTTTGTGTACTTTTTCTGGCAAACGAAAAACTCATATTTTCCTTGTGTAATCTTCATTCCAAGGAAATATGTCATAAGACGAAGATCAGACATTTCCAAAGTTTGCGTCATATCTTGCTTGAACTCATCAATTAGTTTCTCACTGTTCCCTGTAATAAAAAGGTCATCCATATATAGAGAGAAAAAGAATCACACTGCCATTATGTTTAACATATAGTGTGAATTCTGAAGGACTCTTTTCAAAATCGAGACCGAGCAAATAATCATCTATTCGACTATACCAAGCTCTTGGTGCCTGTTTTAAGCCATAAAGAGTTTTATCTAGTCGATAGACTTTATCTTCTATTCCATCTATAACAAACCCTTCAGATTGCTCAACATAAATTTCTTCTTTAAGAATGCCATTAAGAAATGTTTATTTGACATCCATCTGATGCATTTTCCATCCACGTTGTGCAAAACTAGTTATAAGTAATCTCATCGTGTCGAGCCTAACGATTGGAGAAAAAGTATCAGAATGATCTACACGAAAAATCTATGCATAACCCTTCACTACAAGCCCTGGTTTATGCTTATTGATTGAATCATCAACATTTAGCTTGGTTCGGAACTCCCATTTTATCCCAATTACTTTTCTGCCTTGAGGTTTCTCAACAAGCTGTCACGTATCATTTTTTTCGATCATAAACAGCTCCTCCTCCATTGCATTTCTCTACTTGGAGTCTTTGAGAGCATCTTTAGGGTTAACAGGTTCACGAATCGCAACATTACATCTCTTATATATATAGGAGAGCAATTGAGTTCCCCTAACTGGTGGATCATCGTCCATTTCATTTAACCATGAGCTTGTTTTCTATATGGAATTCCTTGAGTCATCCCAATCCCATTCTTCATTCTCCATGAAGTGCACATCTCTGCTGATAACTGTCTTCTCACCTTCGGGTTGAAAGATGTTGTACACTTTTGAAACATTACTGTACCCAATAAAAATGCCCGGGGCAGCTTTCTTATCTAGTTTATCCCGTTTGACCTGAGGTAAATACGGAAAATAAAGACAACCAAACAGTTTAAGAAAATTTAGCGGAGGCTTGTATCCATACCATGCTTCAAAAGGAGTTTGATCATTCACAGATTTTGAGGGAAGTCAATTTTGTAGGAACACAACTATATTTGTTGCCTCTACCCAAAACATCTTTGGCAAATTCTTTTTGTGCAACATACATCTTGCCATCTCCATGATAAATCTGTTTCTTCTCTCACTTACTCCATTTTGTTCTGGAGTATAAGGAGCAGTAAGTTGACGTTCAAACCCTGCCTCTTCACAAAATAGACCAAACTAATGAGAAGTGTACTCCTTGCCATTGTCAGATCGTAAGATCTGAATTTTGCAGCAACTTTCATTTTCCAACATCGCTTTCAACTTCCAAAAATGATCTTAACCTCCATTTATACTTTAAAAAATAACATAATAAAGACTACCTTTAAGTGAATGAATACTTTGGGGTCCTCCAATATCGGTGTGAACCAGTTGCAACTTTCTTGTTGCTCTCCAAGTTTCCTTTGGGAATGGAATTCTACTTTGTTTTCCAAATTGACAAGCCTGACAATTTTTAGAATTCTCTTCCAGTTTAGAAAGGTTCTCGAATATCACCAATTCTTGCATTTTGAGAAGCCCTTGATAATGATAGTGTCCGAGTCTCTTATGGCATAACTCAAAAGCATTTTCTCTTGCCGAATACACCACTTGTTCTTCCTCCAATGGATTTAATGAGAAACTTATGCCTCTCATTTTGACTTTAAACAAGTCATGTCCTTAGGATTCCTTTATCAATACATTTTTATCTTTGAAATATAATTTGAAACCTTTTTCTAACAATTGACCAACACTTAACAAGTTCTGATCTAAATTTGGTACATAAAGAACATCAAAATTTGCTTTAGTACCTGATTGTGTTTTGATTGTAATAGTTCCCATTCCTTTTGCTGGAATATAACCGCGATGACCTATTCTGACTTTTGTAACTCCAATAGGCTTCAAGTCTTTAAAGAGCTCTTTGTAATGAGTCATATGGTTTGTGCATCCACTATCAATCAGCCAAGCCTCAGTTGAAGCATTGCTTGCAAAACACGATGCCAAAAAGAGTTGATCCCCTTCCTGTTGATTAGCAACATGGGAGTATGCGTGTTGCTGCTGCAATTTATTCTTGCAGATAATTGCTTCATGCCCGAGTTGGTTGCACTTACTGCATTTAGCATCTGGCCTTTTCCAACACTTATACGACACGAGCCCATTCTTTCCACAATGCTTACAAGCAGGATAGTTTCCTTTGAAGCTACCTGCTTTGCTTTTGTTGCTGTAGCGAGCTGCTCCTTCTTCATTTTTTGGCTGGTTCTTCTTATTGTTTTTCTTTTTGTATCCTCCACTGTTTTCATGTTTGGACACTAATATTCCCTCTTCTCTCATAACCCTTCTTTGTTCTTGAGCCTGCAAGGAATTTAATAATTCCGCCAAAGTGATTTTTGACAAATCCTTGGTGTTCTCCAAATTGGTAATGGTGGCTTCAAATCTTTCAGTTATAGTAACCAGGATCTTTTCAACAATCCGCGAGTGTTTAAACTCAGAACCAAGTATACTTACTCTGTTTTCTATGCTCATAAGCATGTCAGAGTATTCTTTGATGCTTCCGATTCTTTCATCTTCTGTAACTTAAAGTCTCTAATGAGATTCAACCCTTGCATATCTTTGATATGATCATCTCCTTCATATTCTGCCTCGAGCTAATCCCAGATGGCTTTTGCTGATTTTAGAGACACTAGTTTTTTTGACACGTGTATTCCACGTGATTAATAATTCAGAAAATATATTTTATAGTAAATAGTATTGCTTATTTAGGCGATGATTTTAATACTAAGCTTAGCACAAAATAATATTGCAGATTATTTTGCGAATGTTCAATGTGGATCGTCATATATATCTCTAATTCATGCAACCTATGAAGATCAACAATGAGAAATTTTATTAGTTAAATGCAATAATTTATATATTTATTTCAATTTGATGAAGTTCAATCGTCTAATTAGTCATATCTCACTAATATTACCTTACACACGATAATTGTTGTTTATTTTCCTTGTCATCTAACCAGATGTTTCCACGTGTATTCCACATTAAACTGTTTAGATGGCATATGAACATGTGAAAAGAACAACTACATTTTATAAGTTATCACATAATAAATAATGTATTGTTGTTCGCTCTCATACTTGACTTCTCGTTTGACTGTGTACATAAATCAAAGAGAGTTATCTTACTATCCATAGTTAACAAAAAGGTTTTCTTTTTTTTTTACCAGAAAAAACAAAAAATTAAAATTAAAGAATATATTTTATGTGTGAATTCATATATATAATTGCATGTACATCTTACATCCAAAAAAGATATAATTCATATACTCGTAAATTATTTCAATTTGTTCAACCAAGTATGATTCATCAAAGGAAAAATTACAATACCATGTTATCACATTTATATGAGGGGTGTAATATTATGAAAAATTATTGGTCAAAAGTTAATATAACGAAAGATGAAAGAAAGAAATTAATGTAATAACTATTGAATTAATAATATTATACCTAAGAATGTTAAAGAATTAATGTGCAATAGCTGAATTTCTATTAAATTATATACGTACATAAATAAATAGGACTTTTAATTACTGTTTCTATTTTTTTAGTTATTAGATTTTAATTTAGTTTAGGAAAAAATGTAAATATTTATTCCATATTACTGAATATAAAATTTATTTTTTAAACGATAGAAATTATTGTTGTGAGTGTTTTTTTAAAAAAAATAAATAACTTGGAACATTTTAAAATAATATATTTTGAACTTAGAAGATCTTGTTAACTTGATAATACATTTATGAAATATATGATACTTTAATTTAAGTACAAATACCTACCAAAATGTAAATATATATTTTCATTAATGAAAATATTTATCTCATAAAAAGTAGCTATTAAATAAATAATAAAAATTTCTACTTGCGTTATTACAAGTCATATGAATTTCTCTTTGTCTAAAATACTTAAATATCAAGAAATAGTGAATAGTAAAACAAAAGGGCAATGTTTATATAGTAATAACAATTTTGAAGCAAACTTCCTGATAATCTAAATCACAGAAGTAGTATTGATAAATAAATTACCTCAAGTACTCGAAGTTATGAATTATACCCTCTTAGGATAGAACGATATATACTTCATCTGAATAGTGTCCCATATTCTGTTAAACTTCTACATTTATTTCAATTTTATTAGGTTCAATCATGTAATTAGTCTTAGCTCACTAATAGTACTTTATAGAAAATATTTGTTTTGTATTTTTCTTGTCATCTAACCAAATGTGCTTTGCATGTGTATTGTACGTTAAATTGTATAGATGTCATATGAGCATGTGAAGAGAATAACTATATTTTCTATGTTCACATTTGTTGCGAGTTTGTTTCTTTTAAAAAAAGAACTCAGAACATTTTCAAATAATATATTTTCAAGGTAGAAGATCTCATTCACTTAATAGTTTAATTTAAATACAAATACCTACCCATTTGTGACATATATAATACTTTAATTTGTGACATATATAATACTTTAATTTAAATACAAATACCTACCCAAATATAAATATATATTTGCAATAATGAAAATATTTTGTCTTGTAAAATTAGCTATTAAATAAATAATAAAAATTAAACTAATACAAACTTCAATTGGCGTTATTACAAGTCATATGAACTTTTCTTCATCTAAAATACTGAAATATTAAGAAATAGTAAATAAGTAAAACAAAAGGGCAATGCTTATATAGTAATAACTCTTTTGAAACAAACTTCCTGGGAGTCTAAATCACATAAGTAACATTGATAAATAAAGTCATTCTTTTGTCTTGAGCATAAAAAACAAATCGTGACAATTCTCTAAATTTTGGAAAAAGAAATTAAGAAAAATATATCTACATCACAAGAGAAATTCTTAACAAAAACAAATGACTTTAAACTACATCATGTTAACTTCATATATTGGAACATTACATACTAATGTGGATATTAAGCAAAAAAATAATTATTATATCATTAAAATTATATTATTTTCCCCAAGTACTTGAGGTTATGGAATAAACCCTCTTAGGATAGAATGACTTACTTCATCAGAATAGTGGTACCGCATATTCCGCTTAACTTCGAACTTCACTCAAACGACAATAAATTACACAAGGAATTTCAAAATGCAAGAAGAAGAAGAGTAGAAGATTTGAAAAAATTATGGTTGGAAAATGAGACGAAGTCTCTCTATTTATAGTCAACAAAGGATAGTATGAACAAATGTTTTGTGTGTCTTATGTGAATGATCATGATCTTTTGGAAAAATCACAACTTATTAAGAAATTCAAAACTCTTCGGAAAAGTCACAACTCTTTGGAAAAGTCACAACTATTTGGAAAAGTCACAACTTCTTGAAAAAGTCACAACTCATTGGAAATGTCACAACTCATCGAAAAATCACAACCCTTTGAAAAAAGTAACAACTTATCGAAAAAGTCACAACTCATCGAAAAAGTCACAACCTAAGTTAGGGATATTATAGTAATTTAACATTCAAGTTAGGAGTTCATGCTTTTAAGGTAATATAGATAGATATAGATGATACGAGTGAAAATTGTTGAAGAGACTGCTGAAAAAAGACATGCATTTGCCTTAGATTTTCTGGTTTTCTTCTCCTTATTATTTTTGAGTTGAGCCATTTTTGGGTTTCCGGGTAGCGGAAGAACTTCATAGTCTTCCTCGATTGCCTCCCAAAGATTTAAAGATTCGAGATAAGCTTCCATCTTCACTGCCCACATCTAAAAAATTTCACCATTGAAGACAGGAGGTGCCATTGCCGAGAAACTTGAGTGTTCTTCCATGTTTAATCTTTTGTTGTTTCTGGTTGTGGTGCTTGAGTCACTTGAAACAATCACTCAGAGAAACACCCACATATCTTACAAGATAAAAAATCTCTAGATACCAATTGTTGGTAAATTTCAGAAGTATGAGTTATTAGAAAGAAGAGAAGTCAAGAAGAATATCGGTACAAGAACATTTTTATTGTTGTCTTCATATTACATTTATAAGACTAGAATAAAAAACATAAAGCAGAAAGCAGTAAACCCACGACTAACAGATTCCTAACTCACTAACTTACTCCTAAATAATAGGAATACATGGCTAACAACTAATTGACTAAGTATTATATAATATAAAGTAGTAAAAGTAAAATTAACTGCTGTTGAAAAAGCAAATTCTAGCAGGGTTCTTAGAAGGTTAAAATAAATTTGAAAGACCATCTCTTTTCACATATTTGTATCCTATCTCAAGAGAGAAACAAAACACAATCTAAAGGGGATAAGATTCACATTTACATAGTTGAGAACAAAAAATTGAATAATCCTTTTAGAAAAATACAAAAGTAAATGATAGGCGAAATTTCATTAACCTTCCGATAGATGCTCTCATAGCAGACCACAAAAGGCAAGATGATATAGTAATGAAAATGAAACCAAACTTACATTATAGCCAGTTAATACCAAAGGTTAGATGTCTTGTTTCTGAAAAAGAAATACTAGAAGTTACGAGAGGTGAAACTTCTTTCATCTTTCCATACATGTTCTCATACCAGAGTCATGCTAGACTTGATATCTCTGTCTCTTCCGATCAATGGAATATTGGGTGGAATGCCACTTATTCTAGGGTCAATTTTCTTCTTCCTACTTTGTATATTTTTAAAGAATTTTTAATATCTTTATGTTACTTTAGGTTTTCTAACTGATGAATGTTGAAGGAAAGTTGCCCTTAAGAAGGTGCCATTTGGTAACTTCGAGCTAGAAAGTGTTAGATAGATGGCACGAGAAATTATGATCCTCTGCAAGGTTGATCACCCCAATATCATCAAATTAGAGGGTCTAACTACCTCCAGATTGTCTTGTAGCATGTATCTTGTGTTTGAAGATATGGAACATGATATTTTAGGAATCATGTCATGTTCAAAAGTTCTGTTCGCGGGCGAAACTCGCGAAAAAGATATTAAGAATGATGCATATATGGTGATGGTTCAGGTAGGAAAAGCAAAAGAGAACAACTACTTGTTCACATGTGAAACTCGTGAAAAAGTGATAGTTATAAACAAAAAGCTAACAGGAAGTATCCCTGCAAGCATAGGAGAGTGTTCTTACTTGACAACTTTAAACCTTAGGAACAACGATTTGTCTGGCTCAGTCATTGCACTTAAATGAAGATGAACTCTCTGGAGGGGTTTTCTTTTTCTTTGAGGAAGGAAGCCACTTTAAATGAGAAGGAGAATTCTACCAAATCGAGAATAAAGAAGGCAAGTTCCATTAATATCATTAGATAAGTAGGCTATTCTATGTCTTTTGATGAATTCGATTGGAAGAACATACAAGGTATAGTGAAGAACCTAGACAATCAGGTTACAACCCAAAACCAAATGAACCAGACAAAATTGAAAGAAATAACACAACAATTAAACAAAAGCTTCACTAACAAACATCCTAAAACAAAAACATAAATTTTAATAATATAGGAGGCTTAAATATCCTAGTTGGAAAGC